CGTAATATCCTTCGTGGTTGTAAGGATAATACCTTTTGTGTTTATAAGCCATCTCAGATTGCTGTTGCAGCGTATTGCGAAAAAAGGTTCTTTTAACCATATAACACGCTGAAATCTATAAATATTGGCATATAGCTGACAATATCAAAACTCTAATGATAAATGATAACAGAAAAAAATCTAAAAACTGCAATCCTTGAGAACGTAATAGCTCCCTGGTGCCCTGTGGCCAAGCGTACTGATCCACTTGGCCGGTGTTACACGAGACGAATCGGCAGGTGCGGCGTGAGAAGCGGCCGACCACCTGGAGGCAGGAATGTGCGTGCCAACATATTCAGGAAAAGGGTTCTTATCGCCAACCAGAATGAATCTCATTCATCACACTCGTATTACACGAGGCTGGAGGTCTCCCCACTACTAGGGCGCACAACTTATCACTCGCACTCATACATAATTCTAATGCTTATTACGTAATCGGACACACGCAACACGTCAAACATGACTAAATGAGGGTGAATTACTTGTGAAAATATATCATTCTTTCGGGGAAATCAGTGAGAAGAGCATGAGCCAGTGAGTAAACCACCAAATACTTCACGTCGAGGGAGATTCATTCATTCGGGCGTATGGGCTTCACATTGGTCTTTACTGGTAATTAAAGGTGTCGGGGAGATAAATACTTTCCGCTACTTTTAAGCTGCCGTAACTCCAAATGACCGACGAGGTTATTTTTCAAAGAATTCGATCGTTCCCTAGAGAGCGGTTAGTTTCAAACACAGTTAATCTAATAAAATCTCAGGAAGCATTCACCCGTTACTGTAATAGAATAGGAAATATATAGATGTTAAAACTCACTTCATATGCTCTCTATAGTCACCAAGATAAAGGAAAATAACTTGAATACCAAACACATAAACACTAAAACTTTGATCCAAAGCTTACGCCGCGGATGTGTCGGCTATGTAAAGAATGAACCAATATAATGTAGAAGATAATCTGAACGGAAAAGAAAGAGTTCCCTTGTGACCGGAAGCTTACAGGGAGGCAGAGTGAAAAACGAAAAACGGATGTCATTTAAAGTATGTTTATATATACCGAGGGGAATGAATAGGTGAAGGTCAGTCGGGAAAAAAAGAAGAGGAAAGAGAAAATATTCTAGAGCAATGAGTATTGACGCTAGTATTACGAGGCGGATGTATAAGACACCTCGAGCGGCGAAGCTAGCAGACGACGATGAGAGTAGAAGTAGATATCTGCTTTGTGATGGATGGTAGCAGGTGAGGCGTACGTTGGCAGCTAAATGAGAGCACAAAGCTGGCGGCGGGAGGCAAATGGGCGAGGGTGGGCGGGATATGGGGGAGGCCGACGCTAAGTCTGCGATGCTAAAATAACAAGTGCTTGCGTTTAACAGTCTCTGGTTGGTGTGCGTTTTTAGTAAGGATCTCGTCTTCAGAAAGAGATATTGAAGGAAAGATATGTGAGTGGGGGGAGGAAGAGAGAGAGAGAGGGAGAGAGAGGGAGAGGGAGGGAGAGGGAGGGAGAGGGAGAGGGAGAGGGAGGGAGGGAGGGAGGGAGGGAGGGAGAGAGAGAGAGAGAGAGAGAGAGAGAGAGAGAGAGAGAGAGAGAGAGAGAGAGAGAGAGAGAGAGAGAGAGAGAGAGAGAAAGAGAGAGAGAGAGGGGGGGGGGGAGATAGAGACGGAGGGAGGGAGGGAGGGAGGGAGGGAGGGAGAGGGGGAGAGAGAGAGAAAGAGAGAGAGGGAGAGAGGGGGAGAGAGAGGGAGAGAGAGAAAGAGAGAGAGGGAGAGAGGGGGAGAGAGAGAGAGAGAGAGGGAGGGAGATAGAGAGAGAGAGAGAGAGAGAGAGAGAGAGAGAGAGAGAGAGAGAGAGAGAGAGAGAGAGAGAGAGAGAGAGAGAGAGAGAGAGAGAGAGAGAGAGAGAGGGAATGAGAGGGAATGAGAGGGAGAGAAGGGGAGAGGGAGGGAGAGGGAGGGAGAGAGAGGGAGGGAGAGAGAGGGAGGGAGAGAGAGGGAGAGAGAGGGAGAGAGAGGGAGAGAGAGAGAGAGAGAGAGAGAGAGAGAGAGAGAGAGAGAGAGAGAGAGAGAGAGAGAGAGAGAGAGAGAGAGAGAGAGAGAGAGAGAGAGAGAGGGAGAGAGAGGGAGAGAGAGGGAGAGAGAGGGAAAGAGAGGGAGGGAGAGGGAGGGAGAGGGAGGGAAAGGGAGAGGGAGGGAGGGAGGGAGGGAGGGAGGGAGGGAGGGAGGGAGGGAGAGAGAGAGAGAGAGAGAGAGAGAGAGAGAAAGAGAGAGAGAGAGGGAGAGGGAGGAAGAGGGAGGGAGAGGGAGGGAGAGGGAGGGAGAGGGAGGGGCAGGGAGAGAGGGAGGGGCAGGGAGGGAGGGAGAGGGGGGGCAGGGAGAGAGGGGGGGGGAGGAAGGGAGAGAGAGAGAGAGAGAGAGAGAGAGAGAGGAGAGAGAGAGAGAGAGAGAGAGAGAGAGAGAGAAAGAGA